GTGCTGATTCTAGCAGTATGCAGGATGCCTGTCACATATGAACTCAGTTAAATGACCTTGCTCTCCATGAGTTCTCATAGCTCACTGGATAGAGCACCTGCTTGGTGTTCGGGAGGTCATGGGTTCGATTCCTGTTGGGGACTCAGATTTTTTCTTCATCCCACACTCATGTCATGTTGATCAATTCATGTTTCACATAAAATAGTGGTTCAAAATGCATATAATTTCAAAAACTGCCATAGATAGTTTGATTTTAACCCATTGAGTAATCTGAGTCATTTTCTCCATATTTTTGTTCACTTGCTAGTGGGCAGCAAATTCTTGGTCCTCCAAGGAAAAAGCAAACATCAGATGATGTTACACAGAGTATATTTGATGAGGCAAAAAGGTATGACTGTTTCCTGTCTGACAATTCTTTTCTTTTATGATCTGTTGAGCCTCAAGCTTGTAGCAAAAAGTGTTGCTGGGTAGGAGTTTTGTTTGTGTTGTATGACAGAATAGACAGTTAAAAAAACTACAGATGCTTTTTTAACCAGGAAAATCAAGTTGTCAGATCTATATTTTGAGCTGATTGTTTCCAAATAAAATGTTGTAAAATGTAGCCTGTGGGAATTCAAAGACAGTAACTGTATTTTCATTGTAGACATGGGGCTGAAGTTGTTGGCGATGAAGATATCGCTGGACCATCGGTACGCCACCAGCCAGCTTTTAAGGGTGCAGGTGAGATTTAAAGTACAAATCAGTGACTTAAGAGCTAAGGAAGCATGACTAACACCAATGAAAGACCAGTCTTCTCTCAACTGGGAGCCATGCGAAGCTGAACCACACAATGACTATGGACCTGATTCTTCTACAGCCCTTTTTCATTAAAAAAACTAAAATTATCTTGACATTGAACCTTTTTTTTTGAACTTGCAAAATTGAAATAATAATAATAATAATAATCAAGCTAAAAACTGGCTATCCCCTAGTGCCCCAGGACCATGGTTTGGTCTCGGCCCTAAGGACTCTAAGCAAACATTACATGAGGACAATAATAACAATAATAATAATAATAATAATAATAATAATAATAATAATAATAATAATAATAATCACGGACTTGTCAAGAAGGGAACAGAAAACTACATCAGCAAGATCCCAGGCAATATTACAATAACAGAGCTACAGAAGACCGTCCTCCTTGGAACTGCTCACATACTTAGGAGGACTCTATCCATCAAGTAATCCAGCAGACTTATGACTGCCCTAGG